GCAGCAGCTGCTGCATTCAGTTAATTCGGATCAACAAGGAGTGTTTTGGCCTTGACTGGTGTTTTCCATCCAGAGAGTGCTGTTTGCCAAAGTGGAAACCACTTGGAACGCTCTGCATGGCCGCCTGTGTTTTTCTCTGGTGGCTGAACACAGCCAGCACATGAGGAGAAGGGAATGTGTGGGATCAGGGCACTGCTTCGGGGCCATGCTGGGAATTCTGGTGGACTAAAAGACAAAGCCCAGGTGCTGTTTCCGAAGGAACCCCAATGAAAGGGGGACACCGGAAAGATGGGCGGACAAGTCCTGCAATGGAACTCTGTGTGTGCAGCCTCATTTTCTCCTTCAGTGACCACAGGAGAGGGGGAAAAAGTGGGGGTTGTGACCCCAAAACTATTCTGGGCGGAAATTAGGGATTGAGGGGAAAATGGGAAAGTGGGAGGAACAGGGAGAAGGGTGGAAAAGGAGGGTGGTCTGGAAGTTCCGAGGGTCCCATGGGGGTCTTTGGGAACAGGGGGGTGGCCCCCCTGAGCTCCCAACTTCCTGTGGGGTGCTGGGGGCTGCTGGATCCAATCCCAGCCTTGGATTATGCCAACACTTTCAGTTTAGAGGAATTAGAGAGGTGTGATTAAACCACTTTTGTCACCCAGGTTTTAATGATGGCAAATCAGATCTATTGATAGAAATGAATTATTTAGGGATACAAATGATCAGACAAACGATCTTCATCAGAATTATTTCCTGTACAGTAGAAACACTAAAACTATCAGTAGTACAGGATAAGATAGGACAGGGCACTACACTAAAGCAATTGTTGAAGCAATTCTACTAAAGCTGGCACAAAAGCAATAATTCTTAATTAGAGATGGATGGAACTCCCCCAGACCAAAGCTCGTGGGGAGATCTCTGCTCTCAACCTCCAGGAGTGACCTTGGGGGGTCCCCAGCCAAGGCAGGAATCTCCACACACCCCCCAGGAATGGTTCTGTTGGAAGAACCTGCCTCTGGGAAAGGGGACTGGCCCTTTGTGGTCGAAAGGGATGGACTGACAGTCACTGGACTCCAGGGGTTGCCTCACCATCAGTGGGTTCATTGGGGGTGGAAGCAGCGGCCAAAGCTCTTCCCGCAGTCGGGGCACTCGTAGGGTGCCCTTACCGGTGGGTCCGTTGGTGTTGGGTCAAGCCAGAGCTCTCGGTGAAGCTCTTCCCACACTCCCCACACTTGTAGGGCCTCTCACCGGTGTGGATGCGCCGGTGGGTGACAAGGTGGGAGTTCCGTTTGAAGCTCTTCCCACAGTCGGTGCAGCGGAAGGGCCTCTCATCCGTGTGTGTCCGGTGGTGCTGTACGAGAGCTGAACTGGTCTGAAACCTCTTCCCACATTCCAAGCACTTGTAGGGCCGTTCCCCGGTGTGGATGCGATGGTGTTTGTGGAGGGTGGAGCTGTCACTGAAACTCTTCCCACATTCCCCACACGTGTAGGGTCGTTCCCCAGTGTGGAAGTAACGGTGGGTGCGGAGGTTGGAGCTCTGCCTGAAGCTCTTCCCACATTCCCCACACGTGTAGGGCCGTTCCCCAGTGTGAATGTGCTGGTGGGTGAGGAGGTGGGTGCTCTGCCTGAAGCTCTTCCCACATTCCAAGCACCTGAAGGGCTTCTCCCTGCTTGGAGGCTGCTCAGGGACCACCAGGTCAGAGCTCTGGGTCAAGCTCCGGCCGCCCTCCCGGCACAGGTTGGGTCTTTCCTCCTCAGAGCACCCTGGGCTGGCTTTGGAGCCCCTCCTGCGGGGGGATCTCCGGCCCTTTTCCTCCCCGCTGCCTTCCTGCGCCGTGGAGCCCTTCAAAACGGCCTCTCCCACCAGGGTCTGCCGGGGGGATTTGTCCACCGTGCCCTCCGTCCTCAGCTCGGGGCCTGGGGCAGGAAGGAAGGACAGGGAGGGGATTTGCCTCCGGCCCAGAGGGAAGGGG